TCACAACCTGAACTAATTAAAAGTTGCTTATCAATAACTAGTTGTTTTTCGTGTGCTGTGAAATGGACACATGGGTTTTCAGTTCCCACAGAGCAACTTAGAGAATGTTCTAGAGACATTGGTTAAGTATTCTTTCCTTCTATTTTGCACATGTCTAAAGAGGTGTAGATTGGGACGCGGGTGGTGCTGTGGGTTAAACCACAGAGCCTAGGACTTGCCGATCAGAAGGTCAGCGGTTCGAATCCCCACGACAGGGTGAGCTCCCGTTGCTCGGTCCCTGCTCCTGCCAACCTAGCAGTTCGAAAGCACGTCAAAGTGCAAGTAGATAAATAGGTACCGCTCTGGTGGGAAGGTAAACGGGGTTTCCGTGCACTGCTCTGGTTTGCCAGAAGTGGTTTAGTCATGCTGGCCACATGACCCGGAAGCTGTACGCCGGCTCCCTCGGCAAATAAAGCGAGATGAGCACCGCAACCCCAGAGTCTCCCACGACTGGACCTAATGGTCAGGGGTCCCTTTACCTTTACCTTTAAAGAGGTGTAGTGAGTGCTGGCCTCTTTACTTGCTTCAAACCACACTGAGAGTTTACAACCTAAAGCATGGATGAGGAACACGCTGCCTTCAAAATGTTGTTTGCATACAACTTCCAGCAGACCCAGGCAACATGGCAGGGATAGTGGGTGTTTCAGTAAAATAGCATCTGGAGGGCCACAGGTTCCTCACTCCTAATTTAAAGACACATCTGTAGTGTGGGTTGTATGACAACATTTGGATTATTTCTCTATGTAGCCATAAGAAACCTAATGTTGTTCTTCATAATAACTCTCCATGACACAAACTAGCATACCTGGAGAAAGTTGCTGATGTTGTCAGGCAAACAAGGCTATTGAGAATGCTGGTATCAAAAGTAGTACTGGAGTGCACTCTCCTTTCTGGGATAATAACCCCTCTGGAAAAGTCAATGAATTTGGCCATGGCTGCTATGGAATGTCCTCTAACATCACATAGAAGAGATTGTCCCAACAACTCATGATAATGTGACAGTGAAAATGATCAAGCAGAAAAGTTATTTGTTGGGTCTCCAGAGCAAAGAAAGAGGTTAACATATCTGTGGAAAGCAGCTACTCCTTTCAGTGACCAGAACAGATACCATAAACACCTCTGTGAATCCCTAACATATTCCATGTTTTGTGGATTGGAATTTAAAAACCCTTTGGAAGCAAATCTTGGCTAAAAAGCAAGGCATAAATATGAATGAATGAATAAAATTAAAAAATGCATATGCTTTATATCTCATCAACTATATATCTGCATGACTAATCATGACAGAAAATGCAGACTGCAGTAATCAACACATGAATCCTAAGAATTGTAGCAGATAAAGATGACACATTTAGCTCCTTTGAACCTTTTCCGTGTCTAGTTAGACACATGCAAGTTCCTTTCAAATGAACACTAAACATGTGTACGCTGCAAACAAACATCAAGGAATGGATCTCACCATCATGCTCTGTCTGCAAGCATCCCTGTGTCACTTGATTGGCCATTGTTGGAGACAGAATGCTGAACTGAATATACTATTAGTGTTATCCAGCAATGCTATGGTATTTGTGTAGAAAGTAAGTCTTTCTTGAAACAGCTCTCAGTTATGCACTGGAACAGTAACATCAAAAGCAGAAAATCCTTTTCCAAAGAACCTTCTATTGCAAGACGGTACATATATTTATTTTGGATAGTTTGTACATTCTATGCCATGAATGAAAACATTTAGCCATATGAGGCCCCTGTGTAATATTTAATTGGCAGCGTGCCACATACACCCACATACAGGAAGAACGTTTTTCTGCTTAACCAGTCACTCCTTCCTGAGACTACAGGAGACAATGTGGCTAAGTAAGCAGTAGTTGGTGTTATTTTGCACCAAACTATACCTAACAGGATATGCGATTCCACTTTCTTTCAAAACACAGTATGAAAGTTAACTGTTTTCAGTTGTTGTTTTTCATTAGAGAGAGAAAAATACAGCAGGGGTCCCTGTTGAAAAAGATAAAAGTATTTTTGAGAAGAACCAAGAATCAATCAGAATTTTCTATCAGGTTGGGGGAAGAAAGGTATCCAAGCTAACTGGGATCTCTCAGGATGACTTCTGCTGCTGGCTCCATCATCTTCCTAAAAGTCCCATCAATTAAAGTAAACTGGGCAGGGCTGGGGAAAGATACAGACACAGAGCCACTATCATGGTTATCAAGATGTAATTCCCTGAATGTCATGTTCCTGAAACTTTGCCATCAAGGGACAACAGGTTTGCTGAAATGAATGAAACAAAGAAGGAGGACTGAATATTGGAACTACTATTTGTTCCTGCTAAACAAACAGCTTACTGTTCCAGATGGAGAGAGAGAAAATTTTTGATGTTGATTATCCATTGGTCAATGGAGTCTAAGAAGTCACCCTGGTACAGATTTATCGTAACGCCTCACGTGATCAGCCTAAACATCTTCAGAAACTTTTTGATTCATTCCTGTTTAAGAATAGTATTTCTCCACCCATTTTCTTTGTAATGATGAAGCAAAAAGATGCATGACAGTGACAGTGAAGGGAACTTTCCCAAATTACTTGACATGGAGCAGTGGGAAAGAATCATTCCATTGTCCTCCAAGTCTAAAAGGCTGTCACAACCTCCACCATATTTTTGAAGCAAAATCAGGAAGAATGGGACTTTCAGGTGGAATACTGATTGCTACTTCTGATCTCAAGTCTTGACCTCACTCTGAAATGCTAACCTGAAGCAGGGCTGTGTATATTTCTATGTATTCTATGCAAGTGAAGAAGAAACATAGACTCTAGCACTGGATACAGAATTATTCTTATCTTTGTAGGGAGCATTTTTAGTCTCATGACTGCAAATGCATGCTTGAAAATGCCTGGTAAGATATGATGAAACCTCAAAACCCAAAGGTGTGGTTAAATAAGATTTCTAGTGGGCAAGACTTCAGTATTACATGTAGGCTCAGGGGTAGGGGACGTTTTTCAGCCATATTCCGTCACGGAATCTTCCAGGTGTCACATATGCAAAACAAAAGAGAACATTTAAAAACACCTACCTACACACTCCCTGAAGCTGGAAGAGAAACCTTGCCTTACACAATGGGTGGGGGTAGAGAAGGCCTACATTCACTTCACAGAAGGTGATGCCATGATTAAAAATTTCTCACAGTCCCTGTTACCATCTCCTTTGTTACCGCCTCTCTGGTATCTTCAAATTGCAGACACCAAAAGCAAAAGAAGCCCAGAGAGAAACGACATTGCATTGAACCTTGGGGTTCCTTGTAATTCTGTGAAACACAGAAAGAGGAAAGGGGACTTGGAAATGTCAAGGGAGTTGAAAGGAAGGCTTGCCTCACCATGGCAAGACAGGAGGGAAGACCATGAGAGAGGGGTGACAGACGCTGGATTAGGGTGTGGGCCCAGTAGCTGGCAAGAGGTGGGTATGCATGCTGGAAGTGGATTGGTTCCGCTTCCTGTAAAAAAAGCCACAGGAAGGGCAACAGAGGCATACAGCCTCTTCCCTTCGCCTGGCAACACCTAATCAAAGCACCTTTATTTGCTCCTGTTATACATAAAGTGGAGCTGAGGTGTGAACAAAGATGCTCTGATTTGCTAGGTATTACCAATCAAAAGTGAGAGGCTAAATGGAGAGCTAATGGATCCATCAGCCTCCTCAAGGCTTTTCTCTAGCGATTTGTTAGTGGTTGTTTCTCCTGGAAGACTACAAAGGCAAGGCCGGATGCATGGACAGCTGGTCACACTTCTCTCTTTTGATAAAAAACACAAAAGTATACCTAAAGACACACGGTACTTTAAAAGCCACCTATGGCTATGTGAGCAAGGAGTTTCGATTATTATAGCATGGGGGACAGGCAGAGAGTTGGCTTGTTTGGAAAGGGTGCTGCCCTCTTTGACCATAGGCACAAGCTAGTTCTAGCTGTTGTTTGTGACATGTCTTCCCCAAGAAACTGAGGGTGCCGTTCATAGGGTTTTCTAAATTTACCGTAATAAGAACTAAGGGTTGTGACTGATCCAGTCACCTAGTCTGAGTCCACTCCAGCAGTTTGGCAGGAGAATTTTAGAAAATAAGCATATACTTGTGCAAATGTGCTTAATTCACAGCACAGATATGTGCCTTTCTTGGCACGGAATTTTCATGACTATTTTTAATGTGGCTTGAAGCTTCAAGGCCTTTTTAGATATAGCAACTATGTAAGTGACAAAAGAAACACTGTGAGCCTTTAGTCCCTTGCTAAGAGAGTAGAGGAAAATACCTTATTATCCTTCTCATCTCTGTGGCTCATCCCAGTGACTGTAGGGAAGAGCTTCTGCTCAGAGAAGGTGATCCAAGCAAGATTTGTCTCAGTACTGATGTCAACTCCTCAAATACGAAGCCTCCAAGATAGGGACTGAAACCACATTTTGAAGCAAGTTTCATTCCCTGGCTAGTACAGTGGTACCTCAGGTTACAAGCACCTCAGGTTACAAACACTTCGGGTTACAGACTCCGCTAACCCGGAAGTAGTACCTCGGGTTAAGAAGTTTGCCCCAGGATGAGAACAGAAATCGCACTCTGGCAGCAGCAGGAGGCCCCATTAGCTAAAGTGATACCTCAGGTTAAGAACGGTTTCAGGTTAAGAACGGACCTCCGGAACGAATTAAGTTCGTAACCAGAGGTACCACTGTATGCAAACTATAGTTAGCAGGAACCATGGTTTGCCCAACTCAGATATCATGGCAAACTATGGCTATCTCAAACCAGAGAAGGGAAGGAGGAGGAACTTGCTCATGATGCCTGAATTAAGTGTATGTCTGCGAGCTTAAAACCAGTATCACAACAGTCTAAAGACTGCACACACAATGAAACAGTTCAATGCCTATATTCTGCATTGAAATGACAATTCTAAATAATTGCAAGCAATGAATATTTTATAAGGAATCAATTATTCAATTACCTTTGGTTTTTTGTTCAGCAGCCTGAAAAACAAAAAGAAAAAAAGTTGTTAGTAGCAAGATTTTTACTGAAGACATCTGTGAAAAGCATCTTGCACTCAACCACACCATATATAAAATATAACCAAATATGGCTTGTTCAACAGTTTAGAATACACAATTTTTGAAGAATAGAGGAGGACAGAGCTGTTGTTTTTCCATAGCCTTTTACTGGCAGCAGAACACCTGAAGTATATTATAGTGCTTACTTTTCTTCTTGGTGCAACAAGAATGAAGTCTTACAGATGCAAGCAGTAAGGTGTTTAGGGCTGCAACCAAACAATAGTAGAACTAGGCTTCAGCACAAAAGGGCAATCACTTCATAGCTATCTCTTCACAAAAACACTACTTCCTTGAGAGATCTCAACATTTAGGAGCACATATATGAGGAATGTGAGCTGTGACCAACCCTCGCTCTCTGGCACATGCATGCATACATTTTTGCAATGGTTTATGGCATTTGTTTATATGCATATAAAAATGTGTATTCTACTTGGGAAGCCCCTATATTTCTAAGTTAAAATTTCTTACATCTTTTCCTCTAGAAGTTTGTTCATTTTAACTCATGATTCTGCTTTAAAGTGAAAGCAAAGATGGGCCCTCAGCAGCATAAGTATAAGTACAGGTATAGTTAGTTTGATAAAACAAATTGCTGCTTTACCACTTAAGAAATGAATGTACAGAACATATGCTACAAAGTTTATTTTGAATATGTGTTATAATTTACAGACTACCTATGTATAGACACTACTAAGACAAGCAGTATTAAGCTTTGAAATATGAACATCACCCATAATGATACATTATGAAATAAGGCACTTCAGTATATTTACAGAGAACTCTTGGCACTAATCACACAAGCAGTTAAATAATTACATGAACTGAGCAATGAAAATAGTTTAGAGTGTCAATGAAAGAATTAGACTAAGTAATGAAATATTTTTATATCTTGAAAATATACAAGGTAAAACAGGAGCGGGTGGTGCTGTGGTCTAAACCAGTGGTCTAAACCACTAAACCTCTTGGCCTTGCTGATCAGAAGGTCGGCGGTTCGAATCCACAGTACAATCTACAAGTACCTTAAATGAGTATATTTGCAAATAACCATTATTCTGTTGAAAGAAATTGACTTGAAACTGCCTTAAATGCAATAAAATGGCTGTAAGTTGCTTGCAAATCAGAATCATAGAAAGAATTTTATGAGCAGTTTAAATATATTAAGTTTTGGGTGGAAAAAGTAGATACTAGAGGTGTTAAAGGTTAACATTTTTAATGCCTAGTCTCAAAAGAGCTACTTAAAATACATCCAAATGCTTGGACATACTCAGTGGGGATTCTGGCTCCCCCTTCTCTTTGAGCAAATGACTGCAGGGTCAGAATTCCAGGGCCAGGTATTTCAAAGAGCCTCCTGAGAGAAGTGTGTCTGGCCCCTTGCTCCCTGAGTTGAAGTGGGCGGTGAATTCGCTTTTATTTAAGCAGGCTTTTGTAGGTGTCTGATTTTATCATACATTCCGCTACTGATTTACATTGATGTTTTTTGTTGTAATTCATTACGATTTTAGGCTGTGTTTTCGTTTATGTGTATCACACTGATATATTTGAAATCTACCTGAACCCTCTGGTAAAAACAGTGGGGCAGAAACATGTTTATTATCACCATGCCCATCACCCTCATCACTACAAGTTGCTCCCGAAAATTTCCTCCATTTGGTCTGTGGTATGGGGGCTGCTGCTTTTTGAGAAGCTCAAGCCCAAATCCTGAACCTTCCCCAGGCATGTGGAACTAGCTGTACAGTTCTTTATATCCTGGCAACACGTGTTATTAAAATATTGTTCATAATTAAACTACAACTTATAAACTGAATTTGTATGAAAGAAAAATCCTTAATTATACATAATGGTCTATAGACCAAGTACCGTATTTTTCGCCCTATAGGACGCACCGTCCCATAAGGCGCACCTAGCTTTTTGGGGGGAAATAAAGGGGGGGAATTATTTCCCCCCCAGGCGCGGGGCTGGGGCGGGGGAAGCTCGAGCTTCCCCCGACCCCAGCCCCCAAACAGGCAGCTCTCTGCAAGCCGTGGGAGCGCTCCCGCTGCTTGCTGAGAGGTCCGCGAAGCCTGGATGCACTGAGCTCAGCACGCGCAGGCTTCAGCGTGCGGGCAACTCTCCGCAAGCAGCGGGAGCGCTCCCGCTGCTTGCGGAGAGGTCCGCGAAGCCTGGTCGTGCTGAGCTCAGTGCACACAGGCTTCAGCATGCAGGCAACTCTCCGCAAGCAGCGGGAGCCCAGCGCTGGGCTCCCGCTGCTTGCGGAGAGGTGTGCGAAGCCTGGAGAGCATGAGGGGTCGGTGCGCACCAACCCCTCTCACTCTCCAGGCTTCAGCGAAAGCCTGCATTCGCCCCATAGGATGCACACACATTTCCCCTTCATTTTTGGAGGGGGAAAAGTGCGTCCTATAGGGCGAAAAATACGGTATTTAAAAAATGGGCTATATTGATCTAGCTTCAAGCCCTGTTTCAGGATAGAAACAGCCTTCGTCACTCTAATGGGGATTGGATAGAAGGAGTGAAAGCCTATTGGTTTTTCTGGACCTCTCAGCAGCCTTTGATAGTGTCAACCATGGGTTTCTTTTGGAACAGTTGTCTGGGTTAGGGTTAGGAGGCCTCTGGCCCCTCTTGGATAATAAATATGGGGATTTCTAATCCAATTATAGTAAAACCATTTTCTTAGATGCACAGATGCATAGATCACATGGTATATTTCTGCCTGTTAAAAGAAATGTGACGAAAACCAAATATATGCATAAAATTTGGTAGCTTTTACAAATATTGGTCACAGACTATGGGACTATATATAAAATCAAATCCAAATAATTAATCCAAGACACACTGGTGAAATCACCCTAAAATACTAAAATTACATCATTAAAGAGACATTCAAACAAACCTTTTTCTGAGCACCTTCCTTCTTTTTCTTTTCTTCCTGCTTTTTCTTTTTCTTTTCTTCCATCAAATGTTCCTCTTCTTGTGTTTGTTCTTTCTCCCTGTTTAAAATGGGAAAATGGTAACTGTTTTAGAGAGGGTTGTTTTACACAAAAGCTGTAAATAAGCCTGAGTGATATCCAAAGCTGCTAATATTTAAATGCATTTTATACTACAATGTGTATTTAAAAAATAATAATCAGTAACCCACAACCCACAACTACTGTAACAAACAACATTTAGAAAGAATTGGCATTAATTAATAACCCTACAAAAGCAACCAAAATTTCCAAGTCTTACAAGAGGCATTTCCTGTATGTTCCATACGTCTTCAATTGTTCTGCATATACCACAGATGAGACCAAATATAGTATGAGCAAATGTCTCAAGCAACAGGGCTTTTCTTTCCCCTCTCTCCATTCCACTACAGCGCTCCACATGTCCCCCAAATCTGCTCTGAATGACTGGGGGACCCTCCAAATCATATTTTAGGGGTGTACGGGGAGTGGAATACAGTACCTACAACTTATTAAGTGAACACTTGAGAAACATTAAAGATACACACCTGAAACTCTTTTTAAAAAGTTTCACTAGATTGGTAAGAAACCTGATGCAAAAACCCATAAAAACCTAACCCTAATAAATAATAGAAAAATAGTATTAGAGGGATTGTGTTGTTGTTTAGTCGTTAGTCATGTCCAACTCTTCGTGACCCCATGGACCAGAGTACGCCAGGCACTCCTGTCTTCCACTGCCTCCCGCAGTTAGAGGAATTAATCAGAGGGATTAATAAATGACAAATTAGCAAAAATTGCAGCTAAAAACTAGTAACTACATCGTTAGTGGGGATGTAGGTACAAATTTCACTAAAAATGCAAAACGACTAACATTTCATTACAATTGGAATAAGCAGCTGATGGAACAAAGGTAGTGGAGGTGAGGAGATGGATTATAATTTTATTTTGAAGAATAATTCTATACTTTTTTACATTTTAAAAATCACTTAAGCTCCATTTGTTTTCTGTACTGTATTTGAACTTAAAATATTAGAGTTATGAGTAATTGAACATAAAAAGGCCAAGGTTCAGTTACACTGTATCTCCAGAGAGGGTTCAAAAATTACACATAGGCAACCCAATCCACTCTACAATTTAATTTCAGGCCAAGAATTTTGGTTTTACTGGGCTGCAGATCAAGCTAAATGTGTTAAGTATGCTAAAAACTCACACATCTTCCGCACCATCAAGCTGTTTTTCAATAGGTACGGTTACAGCTTATTTCCCAACGCTTTTCCAGCTGGTAACAATAGCAATCTCTCTCATGGGCACTGTGCTACAGTTTGTAAATTGGCAAATTTGAGAAAATAGGCAGGAAGTCTGTCACTCTTCTGTCATTTTTACCCAGTGTCAGATATCCAGCATACAAAATCCTGACCCATTGTGATAGCAGATGAAGCTTTTGACCCTACACCATAGTTCTGTACAAGCAAGATCAATGAACTGTGAATTATGTTGTTACGCAGCCAGCAACTACGAACTCTGCTAAAAATAAGCCTCTCTCAAAGCAGAAATTTGTTCAAGAGTTAATTATCTGTCTTTTTTCAAGTATAACCTCAGTGTGAAGCTTTTTAAAGGGAGTATTTGGACAGTACAAAGGGAGTACTGAACAGTATATTCATGCAGAAATTTGAAAATATTACACACACACAGAGAGAGTATGTGGCCAAATTTGAAACTAAACATTTTTTTAAAAAAGTATTTATTAGTAACTCACTGAGGAACATGGGGACACACTCCTGTTTAGGATACAAAGGGATGTGTCTTAGATCAGGTAAGGAGAACCTGTGGCGCTCAAAGATATTGATGGACTACAACTTCCACCACCCCTGACCATGCTGGCTGGCATTGATGGGAGAAGTCCAATAACATCTGGAGGACCACAGGTTTCCCATCCATCTTAGATGGCAAAATGTAGTCTTTTTTACTACCTTTAACACTGCAATCAAGAGGTTTGGGAACTACAGCTCCCAAAGTACCTTTAACCTTGCCTTTTGTGTTTTGGGAATATTTTAACTCAAACTGTAACTGTGACAAAAGCTGTGGAGGAACAAAATCAAATGTAGGGGGGCTGCTGTTTGCTATGCCAGGAAAAGAGCCAGTGTTTGTGTGTATGTTTGTGTTACAATCATAAATAAAATCACAGAAAAAACTTCGTAGACTTGGATCACAGAGTAACTCTTGGATAGTTAAAATGTGAATGTACGGACAGAAAAACCCTGCAAAGAAAACCATAGCTTGAACTTTTCGTTTATTTATTGTGTGTGGGGGGGGGGTGCCCAGCAGCTGTCAATTTCAGAAAGGGTTTGAAAATTAAAACTGTGTACAGTTCTAGTTACCTCACCTCAAAAAAGGATATTGCAGAACTGGAAAAAGGTTCAGAAAAAGGCAACCAAAATGATCAAGGGGTTAGAGGAACTCCCCTATCAGGTAAGATTACATTTGAGGCTTTTTAGTTTAGAAAAAGAAGCAAGTAAGGCAAAGAAGACAGAGGTGTATAAAGGTACTCATGGTGTATAGGAAGGATACCTTTAAAGGTGGATTAGACAAATTCATAGGGGATATACATGTCAGTGGCTACTAGCCACAATGGCTGTGTTCTATCTCCACTGTTGGAGATGTATTCAGAGTCAGACTCACTTGCTGGGAATCACTAGTGTGGAGAGTGCTACTGCACACAGGTCCTGTTTGTGGGTTTCCCATAGGCCAGAGGTCAGCAAACTAAGGCCCATGACCCACCCCCGAACCGAGCCGCCCGCTTGGCGAGTCCCCGCGCGCTGCGCTAAACCATGTGATAAAAACACTGTCTAAAGTCTGTAGCATACACATAACTTGTCAATACGGATGCTCACACAAAATAAGGAAAGGCAAATGTCACTGCTGGTGTGTGGCAAAGCTTTTAAACCAGTGGTGGCCAAACTTGGCCCTCCGGGTGTTTTTGAACTACAACTCCCATCACCCCTAGCTAACAGGACCAGTGGTCAGAGATGATGGGAATTGTAGTCCCAAAACAGCTAGAGGGCCCAGTTTGGCCACCACTGTTTTAAACATTGTGGGTTTACTGAAGTCATCCTATTAGTGCAAGGATTTCTGTCTTGCACCCTTCCCCCCAAATCTGTTCTAGGGTTTTTTCCAATCCTCTAGAGAAGATGGGAGGGAGGACAGGAAAACTCTTTAGGTTTTTTAAAGACATCATTTCACTGTAACTTATCACCACTCAAATATGCACCTCTACTTCATACCTATCTACACAGCAATAGGGTATCAGAAAAAAAATGACACCGATTTCTTCCTCTGCTATATTGGCTGGAGGCTCACATGTCTGCTAGTACCATACATGAAGGGGTGCTTTTTTCCCATCTCTCACAAATTAGAAGATTCACTTTTGCCACATACTAACTGCATCTCATGGAGAGTTACACTAGAAATACTGCCCCACCCCCACCCCAAATAGTTGATCTCAACCAACACACAACTGTTATCCTTTAGTCTAATGCTTACACTTTATTTTATTGAAAGGAATCTGTTGTATAATTCTGTTTCATGAGGGATGATCAATTGATGACCCATGGGCAAAAGCCGTGAAACTTCCCCCCAAAAAAAGAAAAGAAAGAAAGATGAACTTCACAAAGTGCTGAAATAGTACAGTTTATTTACAAAACATGAATGCTTAATTTTGATCCCACAGAATACTGTGGATCTACTCAATAACTACCAGCCTCATATTCTGTTTAAAATTTAAAATTTGGGTACCTGTCTTCAACTAAATAATCCTTGAATGACAAAGACAGAAACTGTGTCCTTCTCGCACTGCAATGAGAACGTTACAGTGTAAAAGGCACTTGGAACAAAGTTCCAGCTACAATGGTAGTTGAAGACAACCTAAAAAGAAAATCTAGTAACTGGCTCATGATAAATTGTTCCATAAGCAGGTAAGCAGGAGGTTTCTCCAAGGGTGTTAAAGCAAGACTCCTTTCTGTTCCAAATCCAGATAGATACAGAAAGGTTGCATTTTAAAGCATCCATAAAGGGAAAAGAAGGGAAAGATCCATTGATTTGTGGGTTGTAGTCCTATATCCTGCTTTCACTATAACTCTCGTGCAAAATGCTTCTGCCAGATAATAAAGAAAAGACTGGGATTCATAATTAAAATGTGAGGTTGCATGGCAGTTTTGATGTTGGGTGTTTCAAAAGATGAAGTGTACACCTATGCAGCCAGCGCAGCTGACAGCCTTGAAAGTGTGAGAGAATTCCAAGCAAGACCTGATCAAAGGAAGGCCTACAAACACATTAGCCTTTTCTAAAAAAAAAATTTAAAGAAATGATTCTTCACTACTACAAACACCAGCCAAAGATATTAAATCCTTTGCTAAAATTGTCGTTGGTATTTCTGCTCTCCAGATGAGTACTGAAACAGCGTTTAAAAGGCTGAAACTCATGTTCTCCATCAGTTGTTAAAAGTTACTAGTTCAAATATCACACAAGGAGAAAATCAAAGAATTGTATGTCTTAAGTGTTTCTTCAAATTCTTCTTTCAACTGCAGCCCAATAATGTTGGTCTGGATGCCTCTCCAGATAGCGCCCCCTCCAACTTTAGGAGACTTGATTACTTGAGTGGATTTTATCTTATTGTAATATTAGATTTGTGTCTGTGATTGTATATCTGCTTGTGCAGTCCTCCATAACTGAAGTGAACATACAGCTAGGGGACAATTTTAGAAATACCAGTAGGCCAACAACTTCACTGGTAAAATATGTATGCTTTAGAAGGTAAATGATCCCCAAACCCCTAAACCAGTGGTTCCCAATAGGGAGTCTGCATAACCCACCCAGGGGGTCCGGGGCACAAGTCACATAACGAAAGCTACCACTGAGATAACATTTTCAAAAGTAGGGGGTCCATGGCTTGGCTTTTGAAAGACAGGGGGTCCGCAGTACTTAGCGAAATGGGAACCACTGCCCTAAATCTATTCAGCTCCTTGCCCTGCACAGGTCACAACCCAAAC